CCGAGACTTTTGAACCGGTTTGGAGGAGCGATCAAGGCCAACACCGTCGAGCAGCCTGGTGTCAAAGGCGCGTTGGGCAGACACGTTGTGCGCGCAAAGATGGCGAGATTGAATCCTCCTCCAAAGTCAAACGCAACACCCACGTACAGCCACGCTCTCTACGACCGCATCTGGTCCCGCAAAGTTGCCTCTGCGCTCGGTCTCGACAGGGCTATATCGGTCGTCTCTGGTTCCGCACCTCTGGACCCTTCGTTGCAGCAATTTCTGCGCGTCGCTCTGTCTACACGGGTCTTTCAGGGCTATGGCCTAACCGAGACCTACGCAATTGCCCTGGCACAACCCGGCAATGACCTCTCCGTGGGCAACTGCGGTGCCGTTGTCCCCTGCTCAGAAGCCTGCCTCGTGTCCGTCCCGGATATGGAATACACTGTTGAAGATAAACCACATGCTCGAGGCGAACTTTTACTGCGTGGCGCATGCGTGTTTACGGGATACTACAAGAATCCCGAAGAGACGGCGAAAGCGTTCACCGAAGACGGCTGGTTTAGGACCGGTGACATCTGCAGTGTGGATGAAATGGGCCGCTTCCGCATCATCGACCGTCGCAAGAATGTCCTGAAACTGGCACAGGGCGAGTACATTTCCCCGGAGCGGATTGAAGGCGTCTACCTCTCGAGTTGCACCTATCTCGCACAGGGGTTTGTGCACGGCGACTCGTCGCAGACTTCGCTGGTGGCGATCTTTGGCATCCAGCCCGACGTCTTCGCACCCTTTGCATCCAGGATTCTCTCGCGCCAAATCTCGGCCACGGACATTCCGGCCCTGAAAGCTGCGTGCGAGGATCCCCAAATCAAAGAAGCCGTTCAGAAGGACCTCGACAAATGCGGACGCAAGATGAAGTTCGCGGGGTATGAACGAGTGCGGAGTTTCAAATTGATGATCGACCCTTTTACCATCGAGAACGAGTTGTTGACTCCGACGTTGAAACTGAAGAGACCGAACGCCGCCAAGAAATATAGAAGTATCCTCGATGAACTGTACGAGGCGGAAGCGCAGAGGCCGCGGAAAGCCAAGTTGTAAACCCTGAGCGATGTATATGGCGTTCAGTACAGTATGTCCGGGGCAGGCTGTTAGGTAAGGTACGTAGACCATGGCGTCCGAGCGCCCAATATCGAGATGGCAGGTGACAGATCTTGGTCACTGGGCAGCATCGACGCGGGGGGCGATAGCTACTAGTATAGTAAGATAATGAGACATTTCCTGCCAGGCACTCACAGCACTGTATTTCCACTGCTATACTCTGTACGCGTTCTCGATTCTCGGAGCCAGAGACATGAAGATGCTCGGGGTTGTTTGGTTCTTTCTAATGCTTCTAGGAAGGGTACCGTAGTATTTATGGAAAACCGCGGCGGCAACCCGAGACATACACACACGGTACCTGGTACCTGGGCGTGCTTATACAAGCAGGTGCTTCATCTACGACGAATCCAAAGGCTGTCTATTCCGTACAGAGTACTTCGTATGCATACTGGGCACGCAGAGCACCTGTATGCACGGCATGTCTCGAACTAGGCCCGGAAAGGCATCCGTACGTATTGTGATTGTGATTGTGATTGCGACTGTGACTGGGACTGGGACTGGGACTGGGACTGGGACTGGGACTGGGACTGGGACTGGGACTGGGACTGGGACTGGGACTGGGACTGGGACTGGGACTG